ATGATGGGGTTTCAGTCCTGGAGATTTTGGCTATTCAGACACAAAATCCTGTAATGTCCTCGGGTCAGGCCAGTCCATTTCAGTCTTTAGATGTCGGTAGGCCATAGGTGACAAAAAGTAGGTCCCTAAAGCAACAGTTTTCAGTTCCGTAGTGAATTTTTTTCCATTTGGTTTTTTGTCTGCATTTTTAATTGCATTTTTTACAATTATTTTTAGATTTGGTTTTAATTTTTCTATTTTTTCGTCAAAATTATTAATTTTTAATATTCTATTTTCTTTTCTTAAACGGATATTTTCTTTTAATAAGTTATTATTTTTTAAAATTAACGCTTTATTTCTTTTAACTATGGTGTTTTTATTATATATACATATATCCTTTTCATTTCTAATAATTTAATTGTATCTTTTAAACTAACAATATAAGGATTATACAAATATTTACAGTTACATGATAAGCTGTTATTATTATTATATTATTATTATTATTATTATTATTATTATTATTATTATTATTATTATTATTATAAATAATATATTATTATTATTATTATTATTATTATTATTATTATTATTATTATTATTATTATTATTATTATTATTATTATTATTATTATTATTATTATTATTATTATTATTATTATTATTATTATTATTACTATTATTATTATTATTATTATTATTATTATTATAATTATTATTATTACTATTATTATTATTATTGTTATTATTATAAAAATTAGAAATATTTTCTAAACAAATACGTTTTGGTGGACAGTTATCATCATTATCGTATTGATTATTGATAAGATTTGAATTTTGGGGTAAATTTTGTTTAACAGACAAATTTTGAAAATTTGTATTAAATGGCATTTCATCTGTAGCTGGTAAATTTTGGTTTGGCAGTGCTACAATAGTCAAATTTTTTTGCAAACATACATTTTGAAAAATGGTTTGAACATGCGTACATTGTTTGATTTGGATATTTAATTTTAAATATATTCACCCATTGTTTTCTTCTAAAAAGGTTTAATTTATGAAAGAACAGTTAGTATCTTTATACAAAGATTTATTTAAATAAAATATTTAACAAATTTTTTAACTCTTATTATCAACATTCTGCATTTTAGGTGACGGTATGTATACCCGGTATGGGGTGGCCCAAAAAAAGGAAATTGCCGATATTCCCAACTAAAGAAAATTTTAGATTTTTTAATTATACTGTTAGTAAAATTTTAACTTTACAAGTGACACAGTAAATCGCTTAATTTTGGGTCGTAGAATCCAATGGCATACTCCGTTTTCAAAAGTTAGGTAAAAATAAGGAGATATTGCAATTTGAAGTTTGCATTGTATTGTTTTTTGTTGTCTTAAGGAAAAAACTCGAAAATTGTTTTGAAATTACTTAATTTGTTGTTAATTTGCAATTCTGAAATTGACGTCCAGCCATTTCCAGGTTTTTATCTGAGTCTCTTCTCTTTTCAAAAACCAAAAAAGACAAAATTTTCGATTTCAATTTAATTTTAATTATTTATTTTGACGGTAATTATGGTTAGAGATAAGTTTCAACACATAAACAATAAATATATATTTTAAATGAGTTTCTGAAGTCTTTACCTTGACCTAACTTTTGAAAACCAAGTATGCCATTGAATTCTACGACCCAAAATTAAGTTCACGTGTATCGGCATTTTTAGATTACTTTTGTAACAACAAAATTTAATCATTCCTTTGGAAAGAATCTGAAGAATGCATGAAAACCTCAAAAATTACCTTTTTGTCCTTTTTTCCAACTCACCAAATATTGACCACAGTTCAAAAATTTAAAAAAGGTAAAATTCATTTTAGTTGGGAAAATCTAATTTCTAAAGGACTAAGCATTGATGAATTCGCATCTGGTATCAGAATTTCTCAATCACATCAATGCAATGTAGTGTACTGATATTTGAAACTTATTTGAGACGTTTTAATCTTAAAGTAATGTTTTAACCACTGTTATATTCTCTTACTTGTTCGATATATTTCAAGTAATTTGTTTTTGCATTTGGTACGCACTGATGTCAAAAACAATAATTTCGGCGAATTCATTTAATGAAAGTATTTTTTGAAATTTTTATATTTTCTAACAAATACACATAAAAATATTAAAATTTGTGACCATGAGTGGAATTAAGTTTGTGCCCAAAATTATGTAAAATTAATATTTTTGTGAAAAATAAACATAAAAATTTAAAAAATTATTGAAATTTTATATACCGAATGAAAGAAACTTTGTTGTAACTGAAAAATTCTACTCCAGCGGAGTAATTTTTAAGATTTAAACGTTGTAGTCAGCTCCCGCCGGACGGGTAAATACCTCATGTGGGGTTTTAATATAATGTGCTTCGGAACAGAATTTGTTTAGTTAATCGCTTTATCTACAAAGTGTAAAGCTATATATCGAGGGACTATATTCAATAGTCTCTATCTAAAATAATACAAGTTTTCAGGAGAGCAAAAAAACTGTTTATTTCACTAGTTCGTGAAGATTTTTTAATTTTTTCTTTTACAATATATTTTTACGACCATATTCTAAACCATTATATAAAAAGAATTTTAATTTTTGCATTATTTACAAAATTATTCACAAATTTATATCAGATAGAGCTTATTTTTCTACGAAAATGTTCATTCAACCAACAGATAGAGAGTTTTTCATGGAAACATAAAATTTTTATTTGAATTAAAATCAATAAATATTATATTTTATACAATTTAATGGAGGAAAAGAAACCAAATTGTTGAAAAAGCAACATATTATAATGTTTTGGTCCAAAATCAATGTTATATGGTTAAACACGACAATAAAACTGATTTAATTAGTATCATAATGAGCGATATCTCAAAAACTATTAGACCGATTTTAAATATTTTGACGGATTTGTGTTCAGCATGTCCAAATTATTAAGAAGACTTGTTTTGCAACAGAAAATTATCCCAAGGGATCGAGTTTGAAGCAATTTTTGGATAAGATAGAGAGTTTTGCATTCAGAATTTTTCTTTTTTTAAGATAGAGAAATTTAAAAAATGCTATAAAATTGCCAAAAAATATTTTTTTTTCTTTGAAATTTATATCACTGATGCGCGATAGTTTGCTGAATATTTTGCCATCAAAATCTCATTTTCATAAAAATGAGAGATAGCGACTATTGAATATAGTCCCTCGATATATAAAAATGAATGTGTGTTTGTTTGTATGTTTGAACGTTATAGACTACAAAACTGCTAAACCGATTTTCTTGAAATTTTCACAGCGTATTCTTGTATGTCTGGAATAGGTAATAGGCTACTTTTTATTTTGAAATTTCAAGTGGGAGAGGTGCCACGCCCATATTAGAAAATATTAAATCCGTATATTTGAGATAATATAACAGTTAGAGTCCTCAAATTTTGTTGGAGCAACTTTAGTGTCAATATAATTATTTAGGACAAAAAGTATACGGACTATCATTAGGCGGCGTGGCACCTCCCATATAAATTATATACAAAAATTCGTTTATCTTGGAAACTATTACAGTTCGAATCTTCAAATTTTGCACGAATAACTTTAACATCCATCTAAACATTTTGGGTAATAAATTGGCGGACTACCCATGAGGGGAGCGGCACCTCCCATATTAATTAAAGACAAAATTTCGTTTATATGGAAAACTAATGGAACTAAATTCTTCAAAATTTGCACGAAGAACTTAAATATTCGTCTGAAAATTTTGGAAGAAAAAAAAGCGGACTTCTAGCTCTAGTAGTTTCTCAGATACACGAATTTTTCTATTTGATTCATATGGGGGCTTCAAGACCCCCCAGATGAATCAAATAGAAAAATTCGTGTATCTGAGAAACTACTAGAGCTAGAATCTTCAAATTTTGCATGAATAATTTTGAAATTCATGTGAACATTTACGGGCGGACTTACAATGAGTGGTTTGGCACAACATAAATGAATTAAATACAAAATTTAGTGCATCTTGGAAACTCTTATATTATTCAAATTTTTTATAGATAGATAGAAATTGGCGATAGATAGAATCTGGCGAACTTGCAATAATTTGATTGACATCTCTCATATGTAACATATTATAAATCTGGAAAACTATTGCAGTTAGAACCTTCAAAATTGCTAAGTGGGATTTTTATTTATACATATTCATTTTAGGGTAGCAAAGAACACTGGGTATAGCTAGTATATAATATAAAACAATATTGTTAATTTGTTAACATTTAATAGAAAAAGTATTAAGTTGGTACATGCGTACCAATTATTCATTATTTATATAAGAAAAATATTTGTTTACAAAATGCTTGGTCTTTTCAGATTTTTTCCATAAATTATTCAAAATACTAACGGAAATTTTTAAATATAAAAATGTAAACAATAACAAACTCTGACATCAGTGCGTACCAAGGCGAATAGACTATAAGGTGAAGTCATTTCATCTTGCGGCGAATTCATGAAATGTTTTATATATGTAGTTTGACAGCGTCGGGTTTGAGAGAGAATTTTTTTATATGGAGTTTGACAGCTTCGGGCTAAATTTCCATGGATAAAAAAAACAATCAGCTGTTGAAATGTCTTCACCTTATTAGTTTCGCCATGGTGCGTACCAATCAAGTGAAGAAAAAAATAATCAGCTGATTGAATAACATCATCCATGATATATTAATTATAAGGTAGTGTTAACAGAGCAGCTGATTGTTTTTGCTAAAACACTTTTAATTTTTTTACATGTATTTTGACAATGTGCTGACATTTTTAAGTGTAGGCATACTGTCAAACTCCATATATAAAAAATAAAATGAATTCGCTGTTTTTCTGGATTCGCCGACGAATGTACCTCATAATTAATATATCTTGACATCACCTTATATGAATTCGCCTTCGACTTCACTTTTTAAACTATTCGCCTTGACACCACCTTATGTGAATTCTCCTTGAATCAGCTGTTGAATTGACTTCACCTTATGAGTGTACCCTGATACCAAGTAGCAAAGAGAACTCAATCAGGTGTTTAGTTGTCACCACCTTGGAAGTGAATCTTATTGTTGATATTTTATTTTTTTAACAATTATTATTCTGCCAAAGTTTCGAATGTAATAAATGGAAAATATTGAAGATAAATTGAAAAGTTATCGTCTGCGTAAAAGACGACAAGAACAAATTCAACGTTTTAAAGAGAATATTAAAGGATTTCTGATGCTGGGAGTGAAAGATAAGCATGAAAATGGTCAACCAGACAAAACAACAGTGACTATACACGTATGTAGATATTTGTTAATACGATTTTCTGTTTTAATGTAAACTTTTCAATTTCCCCTTAAAGGAATCAGACACGGATGATTTTGTACCCAAATCATTAAATAATATATCAGATGTTGAGGTGGAGAATGACAGCGATGACGTTTCTGTGCTATCGAAAGAGGAAACGGTGAATACGAATTCTCCAGTCGATAAAAACAGTCGTATTTTCGAGTATACTCTTCGAATAGTTTACGTAGCGTTTTGGGTGACTTTATACATAATTGCAATTGAGTTGCAATTTGGAATAGTCTACCTAATGTTTTCCGCACTTGCTGGAATTTACTTAAATACACGCACGGGGCCAAAGAAGCGAAACGAAATTAGTGCCTACAGCGTTTTTAATAAGAATTGTGAAAGTATCGATGGAACACTGAAAGCAGAGCAGTTTGAACGGGAAATTGGTATTAGATAGAAAATATGCAAAAACTAATATATTTTTTATACCCTGTGCCATTGTAGTGGGGTGTATATTATGAGTCGGGCATGCACGACCTTACTTTCTTACTTATTTTACATAAAACTGTGCCTATGTTCTGTAACCTCGAATCGACAAAAAATGTCAAAAAAATTATAATCATCTTGTTTAAAACAATCTGAACTCACGTAATTCAAATATATTTTGTTTAATTTGAATGTGTTCAGATTAAAAATTATCTGAATCACAGAACTAAAAAGCTGAAGACTTATATTTCGATGTTATTTTCTCTACTCGAAAAATATAGATTACAAGCACTGTATATAACATTAACATTTTTTTACTCTTAATAGACTTTAAAAAATTAAATTAATTTTTTTAAGTAGAAATTTGTAACCGATTATGGCCAACAGGCTAGGTTTATTTTGAAAATAAATTAAATTAAATTAAAAAAAAAAAAAATCAAAGTAGGTATCTTTGATACCTACACAGAAAAAAATAATACATAACTAGAATGAATTTTGTAATAAATTGTATGAATCGAACATGACTTTTTTTCCCAAACCATTTTCATTCGGAATATTAAAAGTTCATAAAATGTATGAATTTGTACATGAATGAACTTTTTGGTTTTTCTTACTTATTTTCTTTGATTTTCATAAAAAATTGCAATAAATATCCACATTGCAATAAATATCCAATGTTCAATTTTTTTAGAAAATAAAATAATAATAATTAGCGAATTTTTATGAAAAATAAATAAAAATATTGGAAAACAAAATATGAAATAAAGAAACATCAGCAATATAGCTAAACATCCATTCTTCAGACAATCCTGCAAGTTACGCGCATTTTCATTGTTTTCAATATAAAAATCATAAAGAAATAAAAAATTTTCCAAAGAAAATTTCAAACATTTTTTAACAAATAGAAAAATAGAAAGAAAATTTTTAATTTTTTAAGTCAAGGCTTCTAGATTATGTTTAAAAAAATAAAAATGAAAAAATTCATACAATTTAGGAATTTATTCTTAAATACTATTAACTTTAGTCAATGAAAGCTGTTCATAATATTTATGCTCAAACTTTTTTCTGTGTACATAATTCGAATGCGCTTTTTAACACTTTGTATATCTAATTATATTGGATGTAAATATTTAAGTACATATCGTAGGTTTTCTCATTACTGTATGCCAACGATGAAAAATCTTTTTAAATAATCTTCACTAATCTTAGTGCCAAATTTTGGCACTAAATTTATCTTTTTAGGTTTTAGCAGCAAATAATTGGAATATATATTCAATTATCGTTCCAATAAGATATAAAACGCAAAAAATGTAAAAGTTATTACAAAAATGTAAAAGTTATTACAAAATCCTATAATTTAGAGAAATATTTAAAAAAATATTAACACATTTTGAGGATTATTCTAATCTAACCATATCATAACATTTAATATATACGTATTAACTTAAATATGAGTCATTATCTAGCGTAAACCATATTTGGGCTATAGTCGTAAATGGGAATATTCTTAAGAAAATAATAATATAAGAAAATTATTACGAATTAATTACTTAAGTAAACTTTAAGACAAGTGATACATTTTTAAAAGTTCTATAACTATATTTTGAATATTTTGAAAAATTGTGATCTGGACCTGTTACAAAATAGGCCTTTTTTAGATATTTTTTAAAAAAGTATCATTTAAAGGGTTTTTTGAATCTGCAGTGTACAAAAACTTGAGAATGTTTTACATAATTTTTTTTATTTTTATGACAAACATTAAAATTTTATATTTTTTGGAATATGACACTTGTTCACAATGATATTGCTAATGATATAAAACCTATAAGGATTTCTTTATTTAGACCGTCTAAGTCCAGGAAAAATATTTAAAAAAATCTAAGACGTAAAATTATTGAATTATTCATAAAGGAAGAAACTGATAAAAATGTTTATTTAAATTACTCCAACAATGGTTTCCTCTCACAAAAATATTGCAAATTTTGTTGAAATAATCTTAAATCTTTGTGAATAAATCTTTGTGAATATCAGTCACACTTCCAAGAGTTTTTCGGAAAAGTATTAATGAGAATATAAAAAAATGAGTTATGAGTGATAAACGAAGATCCCTAAATTTGTAATTCTGGAAAAAATGTCAATAATATTTTCAAAATTTATTTTTTTATTTAAAAAATTTATAAAAAAAATAACCAAAAATAAGAAATCTGGTAAAAAGTGGATTAAGAAAGTCCTAATTTTATATTATCAATTTTTTAGGTTCCCAAAACAGTTGAAAGTACCCTTAAATCAATACTCATTTTCAAATATTTTCCGGCACTTCTAAAGGAAAAGGCTAAATAAAAACCACTTTATCTCAAAATTTCAACATATAGGAAAAGAAATAAAAATTGTTCATTAACCATCGGAAGTCGTTGTAAAAACAGAACAAGGTAAATTTTACTTTCCTTGAAATTTATTAGAGCTATATGTAGATTCACATAAGACTTGTTTTTGTAGAATTTTATAGCTATACTATAGGTTGTTGTGCTGTTTTATGGAGACTAGAGACAAATGTGGACCAATTTTTGCCATATTTAAGAGAGTTTTCTAAGTGTAAAAATTGTTTTCAGGAAACATTTTATAAAAGATACAAGTGAAATCCCGAATTAATATTACACATTTTTTAGTACCATCACGTTTTTTACTGGAAGACAGTAGCTTGAACGTTTACTTGATTGATTTACATGGTCTAGAACAAAATTTGAATGAAAAAGTAGGCTTTTTATTTTGCAGAGCAGAATTTCCAATTAATCAACGCAAGAAGTCGATTTTGAGTATAAAATTGCTAGTGAAGAATTGAAAATAATAGATTTTTACAGCAATAATCGATTAATAATCATAATCGAAGTCGATTTAACATTCCCTAGCTACAGTACATGGACAGCAACGTTCGGGTAATTCTACCTCGCATCCCACTAAGTAACCATAAAGCTCTTAAAGAAAATGGTCTAAGCTTTCTTTTGAGCAAAAAAAAACAAAAAAAAATTTTTTTTGGTAGATATCCCACTCGCTTCCGATTAAGCAACTATAAAGCCCTTAATGAAAATTGTATAAACTTCCTTCTGAGCAAAAAAAAGGACCATTTTGAAAAAATAAAAATTTTAAAAATTAATTTTTTTTGGAAACATTGAAGAAATAGCTATCTGAACTCCTTTGTACAATTTTTAATGTGGTTCTTAAAAGTTTAGCATTTACAATTTTTACTGGAAAAGAAGATGTTAGCTCGGTCTAGTTCCTTGTTAGTAATATTAATAAATGACAGTTTAAAATCTATTCTTTAACTACCATCGGTAAACAACAAATAATAAACTTCAATGCGTATTTCCAATAAAATGTTTTACATACCTTTAGGCTTTTGCTATTTAAGATTTAAAACTGCATGCATCAAATATAAATGTATACATGTAGTGAATTTTTCGCGTCACGCGTGAACCAAGTGTTTGTTCATCTCTCGAGATTCACTCTATTATTACGCGTAATAGAACTGCAAAAAATACTGTCGCGACAGTCGTTTTGCAACATTTGCTTGAGACATTTGATCCTTATTCATATATGTACATAAGTAATATAAGACGTCAACCGTGTAAACTTCTATTGGATGTTTATAAAGTTTTATACTAGCTCGCTGCCCGCTACTTCGTTAGCGATATTGGCCCGAATTATTCGGCCAAGGGTTGTCAACCCCAGCAACAACAATACAATTTTCTGCTGCGGAGCAACATCTTCCGGCATTGCTGCTCCGCATCGTTTTGGTCCGTGCCGGAATTGAATTAAATCCCGGACCATGGTTCTGCACAGTTTGCCAGAACCGACTGCACCATATGTCCATCCAATTAAGGTGCAACTCTTGTTTGGGCTGTGTCATCTCAGGAACTGCTCCGGACTTAACCATCGTCGAGAGTGGTCGGAAAATTTCGTCGCCCCATGTTGCTTACAACAACAATCAAACCATACCACTATTCTCCTAAACAATTTGGTATTGAAATTCTTAAAGAGTTTCTCAGAAACCACAAAAGATTATCTTCAAAATTATAACAATTTTCGTAACTTATCAAAAAATTACAAATGCAAATTTAGTACTTTTTGGAAATCCGAGGACTTTTTTGGTACTTATGCGCTCTTCAAAAGTTTGAGTTTTTTTTAATGTTAAACCTAGAAACTTGTAGAGCCCGAAATAAATGAGAACCAATGAAAGGGGTCTTTTTCGAATTTTCCGGATCAGCCCATAATTGGTCATATCTCCCATAAAAGCTCCATACATAAGTTATGGACCTGATCAAAACTACTTCCGTATAAAGAAATTACTAAATGATAGCAAAAAAAGGAAGCACAATTTAAACCTGGCCTCCGGTAGGTTAGTGGTTAGTGTTCTAGTCTGGTAGACCGGAGGTGGTGGGTTCGATTCCCACCTGAGGCACTGGTTAAGGAGCGCACAACAGGCCCGATAGAGGCCTAGGTGTATTTCTTCGGATTTGATGTTTATACATCCTCCTTTCAAACTAACTAACTAACTAACTAACTATTAAATATCTTAAAATATTTAGATGGGTTTTTATAAAAAGTAAGTTGTAGGTGGAAAGCATTTAAGATACGGCATAACTTGTATAACATAAATCAAAATTTTCAGTTTAATTAAAATTTTGCGACTATTTTATTCTACTTGTTTGTTACGCTTGCTTTGCATATTGTATTCTTTTAATTGCGTAAAATGCCACTATTTTTTGATATAAAAAATCTTCACCCGTCTTATTACGAAAGAACAAATTTAACTCCTTCCGCGGAGTTCGTTATAAGTGAAATCTGCAAAAGTTATTCGATTATAATTTTAGAAATTTTAAAATTAATTGTATTCTTACCATCATAAGCATTGATGCTATAATAACCTTCGCGGTTGTAGTAAAGGTGTCTTATTTCCTCTCTGCGGGCCATTATTTTTATATGTGTGCGGTCCACTCCCGGCATATTAAATTTTTCATATAATTTTTGTGTTATTATATTATTAAGCTCTTTCCGCGTCAGTACTAAGGTTAAATTTAATCCATTTACTATACATATATTGCTCCATAATACCCAAACATTCGTCTATGACATAACAAACTTTTGCTTGAGACAGTGATGACAA